CCATGGACTTGGAGTAATTTTCGTCAATTGCTTTCCAGTTCGCGCGAGTGTCCTTGCTGGTTTCGTTGGCAAGGACGGCAGATCTTGCCTGTGCTTATAGGAAGATGTCTTCGAAGGTTGTACATTCCATTCTCGTTGTTCTCGTCTGTTCGACGTTGGTGACCTTGAAGTCAGAATCAATGAGGTGGGAGAGACCTTGAGACTTGAGCGTGTTGAGGAAATTCTTCCTCCATTTGATGAAGACTGATTCATCGCGAAACTCTTTGAACTCTGAGCGGACGGGTTTATTGTTCTTGTCCCAAAGTGCGATTGCACGTTCCCCATCGGTCATCGTGGCATCGCTGCGTCTCATTTGTTGCCATGGGACGATTTCGCCGTGTGGCTGAAGAGTCCAACTCTGAAAGCGTCGAGTGCGTCGGCCGTCAGTGTTACGACGCGGATGGGTGCCTTCCTCCTGGACGACCAATGGTGATACATCTGTATCGCCGCGAGCAGTAGTTTCTTCCTGGTGAGAGCTACTGGTCTCGTATTGCCGTTGGTGTCGTTGGAAGCTTGGAGATCCATAACTTCATCTTTGGTGAGAAGTAGGAGATCCATCCATCCGTCGATTCCTTGTTCAGACAGTGCGATGCGCATGTGAGATGCATTGTACCCTGTGGTGGTAGCATCTTCGCCGCATAGGGTGCATAGGACATGCTTGAGCTTGGCTGCTTCATCGGCCATCTTGATGAAGGTGTGGCAGTGCGTAACTGCGACTAGTTAATCTGCTAACGTGGGGAAAAACTACTTGAATAGAGGGAACTTGTAGAGTTAGCTACCACCAGACGAGATCAACTGCAACTATTCAAGACGGTTGCAAGGTAAATGCAAAGATCGCTTCTTAGTAATTCATAATCTGTGTTGTGAGCTTTGATTGATGCGATCAGTAACGCTGGTTGTAGCGTGTTAGATCAATACATCGAGGTAGTTGATACGGAAGTCAAGGTGGTATTTGCGGGAAACGGTTCGTTGGCAGGATGCTTTACTCCTGTCGAATACTCCAATTTACCGTGTCCTTTTTGGTTTCGTTGAGAACGTGTTCTTGCCAGCGTTCTCTGTTCCATCGTGTTGACTCATAAAACATGACCCAATCTACTCACGGATACTCTGAGTCGTGGGAGGAACTGTAACGCTTTCAGTCTATACCGTACCAGCTCCTATGTGTCTATTTCGAAATCACCACAAACAGGGTACCCTTGCTTTTCTCACAGCCTACCCGGCTTGTATCTTTTGCCATCCCCAGCTTGCTCCACTGGAGCGTTCCTCAATCGTGCATGACTTTAAATCCGACCCTAATTTAGGGACGGTTTGGGGGAATTCGTCCTTAAATATAGGGACGGTTTCGAAACCCGACCCTAAATCGAAACCCGTCCCTAAATTAGGGACGTTTTTTCAGAAACCGTCCCTATTTTTCAGAAAACGTCCCTATTTTTAGGGTCGGTTTCGAAACCCGACCCTAATATTGGTGCGTTTTCAATGTATTTACCAGGCAGTCCCGTTTCTATTTAGGGACGTTTTTCAAACCGAACCCTAAAACGAAACCCGACCCTAAATTAGGGATGGTTTTTCAGAAACCGTCCCTATTTTTCAGAAAACGTCCCTATTTTTAGGGTCGATTTCGAAACCCGACCCTAAAGGGAATCCGACCCTAAATCCGACCCTATTTTGGAGTCGGTTTCATGCACGATTGAGGAACGCTCCTGATGAAGCAAACAGCGAAATTCTTAAGCTCAGAATTTGGAAATCAGCAAGCAACGGTATACCCCATGGATAAACATCCAATGGTAGATTCGTCGTAGATTAACTCTTAGTAGTGTCTACACACATCTCACACAACATCACACATCTCACACAACACCACACATCTCACACAGCACTCACGTACACACACCTACACACACACACACAAGATAAAGTTCAAAAGGCCCTCAGCTTGCTAGCTGGTAGTTGAGGGCAATAGCTAGCTAGTAGCCAGGGGCACAAGAGCTACGGTATTCGGGTTTCGGGTTTCGGGTACGGTGTTCATTCCATTATTTGTCTTCCAGCCAGTGACCCGGGCCCCAGAAACCTTTCTTCGCTTCTTTGCTCTCTTCTGCGACAAGATGCAAGATAGATGCAATGTACCGAAGCCGAATGCCTCAAGCACTTCAATATTCAACTCTTGTAAGACTCCACGAAGCACGAAGGTGCTTCCCAACTCTTGGGGCTGTTGGGCTACTGGAGTTGCGGGGAATGGGCTTTAGAGCACCTTTTGAGAGCGAACTGCTGGAGTGAGTTAGTTAATCTTCCACTTTGAGTCGAGTCATGCTTCCAGATTGTGTCATTCTTCCACAATGTGTCATTCTTCCAGATTACATTACCTGGTATTTATTTCTACGTGATTTTACGTAGAGCCTTCCATATTGAGTCATTCTTCCACATTGAGTCATTCTTCCAGATGTGTCATTCTTCCCTCCAAAAGTAATTGAAACATGACAAAACACCAAAACAGGTATTCCCGCAACTCCAGGACCTCTGTGGAAACGTCATTGGTGGCAAAATACTTAGGAGATGATACACCGAGGAATAGGAGACGATCGAAATGATTTAAGAGACGAAAGCAATCGTCTCCTATATTTAGGAGACGATTCAGTAGGAGACATTCCAATTAGGAGACGATCGTTTCGAAATAGGAGACGATCCGAAAGATTTAAGAGACGATACCATACAGTTTACATGGTACACTTAGGAGACGATCCGTTGAGAATAGGAGATGATCCGTTGATAATAGGAGACGTTTTAAGAGGAGACAAAAGATTTAGGAGATGATCCGTTTCGAAATCCATTAAATAGGAGACGATCAAAAGGATTTAGGAGACGAAAAGTAGCATGACTCGAGTTTCCACAGAGGTCCAGTGTGTGAGCAGCCTTTGAGCGTCCATTAGCGTAATTAATTGGCGAGGGCCACTGGGCTACCGGTAGAAGTTCATGACCTCACCTTCAAGGCTTCAAGGGAGGAAGGAGGAAGGGAGGCAAAGAGCGTTGAACTGTTGAGCTCCTGTCTCTAAGTATGGTATCATAGTATCTAGCTAGTACTGGAGTATTTATTCCATAAAGTGCTGTAGGGAGGACAAAGAACGCTACCGGAATGACGTAGCCTTTAAGGCTTCCGGAATGGGATTCTTTTGAATGGGAAGTGGGGTCATTTGAGCCTTCTTTGGCTTTTGGAATCGAAGGGTACCAGATACACGTACTTATGTACTTGGGTATCAGCAGCTATCAGCTAGCTGTACTTTTAGCAGCTCAAGCTGCAGGCTGCAGGCTGCAGGGTCTCGGGAGATTCAGGGTCATTATTCCACCGGTACTTGTACGGTTGTACTGGTACAAATAAATGACATCTAACACATTACTGTAGAAGGTCTAATGAGCTTACAGCATGTATTAAATTTTGTCGCTTTTGTTGTACACACTGGAGTACATGTATGTCATATTATGTCAAGTATGTAAGTCATTGCATGCTGAGCAGTCTTCTGCTTGCGCGAAGGAAGCGTACCATACCTGCTGTAAGTTTCTCAAGAATCAAGACCAACACTGACCGCTCACCCACATCAACCTCCAAAAGTCACAAAAAAGTGCTGCAGCCAAAAAACTGCAGAGATCCACTCCCACACTGCAACAACAGCAAAGCTCGATCACCAAGAAGACACCAAGATGCCTGAAGCAATCGCAACCACCTCCGCCTCATCATTAAGTTTGGGACAGCTATTGAATGCCCGACAGAACCTGACAACAATTGACAAGGCTCTGAGCCAGATTCAGCAACTATTGGAACAGAAAGAGTCCCTGGAAGCTGAGATTGTGGCCCTGAAGCGTGAAAAGTCCAAACTTACTTACGAGGTAGTGTCATTGCGGAATGAGTGTGACGATGACAGTTCCAGAAAGGCCAGTAGCTTGCCTGATCTAGGGATTGCCTTTGGTGGCGACGACGACAGTTCCAGCTATGACAGTGACGACAGCGACGAAGAGATGACCAACAGTGAGCGCAAGGCCAAGGCCCCAGAACACTTTATTTGCCCGCTGACGCTCGAAATCATGAAGCATCCAATGCAGCAGAAAGGTACCCAGAACAACTACGAAAGAGGCGCCATTTTGGAGTGGATATATTTTGGAAAGGCCACCTGTCCCATGACCCGCAGAGTGCTACATCCAGGCGACTTTGTTGAGAATACAGTCCTGGAGCGTGAGATTGAAAGTTGGCGAGAGAAGTATGGTGTTTTGGACGAATCTGCCGACGACGACGAAGACAACGGTGACCCCATACCTACTCTGACACCCGAAGAGGAAGAGATGCAACAGCAACGGTTGCAAGTTGTCCAGGTTAAACGCGTGGGATCCCATAACGAATTGATGGGCCTTCGGGATCGCGTCCTCCGAAAGCAAGCTGCCCGAGCCCGTCGCCGCATGTCGACTCATGGAGGACTGCGTGTATAGATTGGATCCACCACAACACAAGGTGAGATCTCACAACAAGCGCACAGCTGGCAAAGAAAGAATTGGTCGACATTTTAGCGAAAAATTTGCATTGCACAACAAGAACAATGGTACCCTATGCACTCAATCCTGGCTGCTGGTGATGCGGAGGGGAGCTCTGCTTCCAATCTCGTGCTACGATACCCCTTCGCTCTGCTTCCAATCTCGTGCTACGATACCCCTTCACGGTACCAGTTTAGATAACAAACAAAACAAAACAAAACAACACAATAGAAAGCAAAGCTATCATTGATGCAGTACTTACTTAATTAAGTTGTCTCGATAGGATGACGAGTGGAATGACCTCTTGTCCATCATAATCCCTTTCTGGCTGTTACTCCCCTGGAATGGAATGGATTCGATTCGATTTACAGTGCGGTTTCTGGTACACAGACCACTTTAGTTCTCGGCAACAGGTGCGTCATCTTTTTGCACACCAGGATAATGCTGCCATACAATTGTATGCTTCGCTGGTCCGGACAAATTATGCTCGCACGGTGCTTGGTCTTTCAATGCCGAACATTCTACCGCAAGATGAAAGCCAATTATCGAAAAGGCAACCCTTCCTTGGCGTTCAGACCAAAACTTAAATAAGGGGGAAAGATCGTCTCTCCCAACTGCTATGTTTGCATACCCAGCTCTCGAGTTTACGGATGAAATCGAAATCTGGAACCTGGGAGCACAGGAAGGAGAAACAAGGGATGATGCGCATGTCAATGAATCGAACTATAAGGATGGGGCCGCCGCGGTTGGAGAAGTTCTCGTGGCTGGGTACAATTTACGGCCCACTGGAATTGCTCAAGTCGGTTTGGGAAAGTCTTGGTCGGCGGAAGTTCTTGAAACTATTGTACGCTCCCAGCTTTCCGACCGCGTGGACGATGTCCTCTTGGTACTGGTACTAGCTAGTAGATTGCCAGCATACTTTTAAAAATACCGCTATTAATTGCGGTGGCTGGTACCGGTACTGTACAGCCGTACCAGTACAGTCGTACCGGTACCGGTACGGCTGAGCATTAATTAGCTGTTGGGAGGGAATTGTCTGATTGGGTTTGTCCATCGCCCTGCGCTTTTCGATTGAACGTTAAATGTCAGTCAAATCGATTCACTAATAATTGAATCCCTATCGTAACAACTGCTACCAGATCCGAAGCAACAGCCGCACGAAAGTGCCTCCACGACGTGCGAACAGATCACCCTCTCATGGGATAAATGCCAATATAGGTCCTCGTTGGCATCTCCATTCTCAACCCAAACCACTAGTTCTTCGTCAAGATAAGGCTGGATTATCTCTCTAATAAACTCTGGTGCTTTCGAAAGTCTGGGCTCTTTCAAGCACGCTTAGACGCAGGCAGAAAATCTCCAAATTTTTTCATGGCGCAGAACACCAAACAACAGCCCCAAACCAAACCAAACTGAATTCTACTCGAACTAACTCGAATAAACCCCATAAAACACTGCCTTCAACACTAGAACGAAGATATCCTTCGCGAAAATTCCAAATTTCTCCTAGCCAACTCTGGAAATGCCTAAAACACCCAACCAACCCATCTTGATGCCTCCATTGATGTTGTAAGTCGATGCATTGGATCCTTCGCGCCATATTTTAAAATTTAGCTTGGATCCGATGATATCATCCATCAGAAGCGGTCTAATAGTGTGACAGCAAGATATTCTTGCGATCAACCGCGCTATAACATGCTCCAGGGTGGAAATTACAGGGAAGGCTACCGTATGCTGTCCTGCAACAATAGTTTCACCACCTGTAGCTGGATCAGTGAGATTTCGACATCCTTATGATACATAGCACATCGTACAGTAGTAATAACGGCTCTGGAAAGGTACATAGAAGAGTTCCCAATACTCAGTGATGAGGTCAGGTTGTCGCGCATCAAAGCTACGGATCAAGCCGCACAACGAGGCTTTTTGTTTGACAACCTGATCATGCTTATTTCAGTTACGAATCTGATACCTGGTGCTTGCTATGGTTTATGCTCACTGGCATGATTGTTTGTCGCCGTGAAGGCTTGAAGGGGCGTCATGCATCGTTCTAGCTATTTTAATACCGGTAGCGCGGCATCCGGTTCTACCTACCTGGTACGGTAGATCGCACTAAAATGACGAAGCATAATTAGACTTGCATCGAAACCCCCGGGTGACTTGGGGGCGCGCGCACCCTCCACAAAAGGAGGACCCAGCAGCCAAACAACGGCGGAAGCAATCAAAAGCTTGAAACAGCATTGATTGCATGGACAAGTAAGCTTTAGAAGTATTCTAGTTGGAACCGATACAGTACGATTGATTGCATTGGCTGGACTATTGTGGACGTATTCAAAGAGCAAACGACGAGTGGTTGCTTGGTTTGTTGTGAAAAATGTCCGAGGAAAGGGCGCCAGCGTCGGGGACTGGGAATGCTGATGCATCGACTGCTCGTAGACAGCAAGAACCGTTTGATAGCGCTGAGCTTCCTTTCCTGGTGACGCATTGGTTACGAAATTTTCCTTCAAGCCAAGACAGTGGTGGAACAACCACCAGCTCTGCGGAGGAGAAACATGCGGCATTGGCACGCATCCAACGAGCGGCAGGAGATTTGGCATCCGCGTTCTCAACTCTTGGAGCGTTTGGTAGCTCCACGGTGGTAAGTTCAACTAGAGGAGACAAGGAATAGTCGACGCTTTTGTTGATCCTGGCTCATTCTCTTTCTCTCTGCATGGCGCTATGTTGCTTTTTGTAACTAGGCCTCCCTGAATCTCAGCGTGGAGAATCAGCAAAAGCCGGATCCTCCACACGAAACCCGTCGAAACGTAACCTTTGATGATTTGAGTCGCCAATGGGCAGGTGTCCTCCCTGGAAATCATTTGAACAATCTAGTCAACGCCGCCGCTACAACGGCTATAGCTACAGAAGATGTTGTGAGTCACTGTGCTCCGTCAAATTTGGTGGACGCCGCCAATGAGGCCATTCATCAGCAACGCCGAAACCCAACCAGTGGAAGGACCGTTCAGGATGCGATTGACTTGGAACAAGTTACTAACAATAACGCCAACGACGAAGCGGAGGTTGTCGTCCCTGTCAAACCATCCATTCTTCAACCGCCTGCCAAGGTTGACTTTGATTTTGGTCGCGACGGTGACCAAGCAAAGTCCAAAGCCACCGACAACAATACACGCAAAATGCCTGCACTAGAGTCGGAAATGAAAGACTTGCAGAAAAAATCATCGCAGGCTATGCGTACATATCTCGAACTGAAAGTGACTTATCAGAGCCAGGAAGAGGAAATCAGAAAGCTGTCGGCCTCGTTGGAATTACATGAGCGCAACAAGCAGTCCCTTCAACACAAACGACTCGCCGGTGGCGCTTCCTTGGATGACACAGAGATGGTTCCCAGTGAAGAAGAACAGAATGCAAGCCGTGTCATTGCCCAACTGGAACGAAAACTAGGAGATCTGTCGCCGAACCACGCCAAAACCAAGAAGGAGCTTGCAGAGGCCAAGCAGCAAGCATTCTCAAACTATGAAAACGCAAAAAAAGCCTTGCTGGGACATCGGGATCCATTTTGTGATGCAGCACATCGTCGACCAGGTTTTGGTGCCAATGTCGCTCAAAACAATGGAATACTCCGGTCATTGGAAACTCGTCGATTGGGGCTACAGAACCGACAATCTATCGCAAGCTTGCACCACGGACTGCAGCAGCCATCCCTCGCGGAAACGCGGATACGCAGCGCAGTGCTGGAGTCTCGGCTTTCCCATGCAGTGACTATGAATTCACACTTGCATTACCCGGTATACTCGATTCGTTTCGATACGACCGGTAGATACTTTGTGACCGGTGCTGATGACACCTTGGTGAGAGTCTTTTGTCTTGGCGCGAAGCAACGGATTGATGAGACCGGGAAAGGGGTGCTACCAAGCCAAGATCAAACTATTCGGGGCGCTGTTCTTGTTTGTACTCTCAAAGGCCACGCAGGTGTGATCAACGCTATTGATATTTCAGCCGACAATTGCTTCATTGCGACAGCATCAGATGATTGGGATTGCCGAGTCTGGGGCTTGAAAGACGGGGCGCCCGTGGCTATTTTGCGAGGTCACGCAGGCGGATGTCACATGGTCCGCTGGTCAAAACTGACCCCGTATCGACTTGTCACTGCGGGCGATGATGGGCTTGGGAGAGCATGGGATATCCGCCTGGCAGCTCTCAAGAGATACGGCAGCGTGGTTGGAAAACGACCCGAATACGCTCTTCGGCTGACAAAAGAAGATAGAGTCCGCAGTTCACACAGTGTTGAGGAGAATGCGGAAGCGGAAGAGCGCCCTTCTGGGGAACCAGCAGTGGCGATTCCGCCCATTCCAGATCGACCAAACGCGGACCTGCCGCCTGAAGGTGCACCCGCCAATGCCGGCCAACCCCCAGCTCTTCGAGACCAGCCGATGCCAGATGCCGACCAAGCTCCAGCTCTTCCAAACCTGCCAATGCCTCCCCCGTTGCCATTGCCACCGCCAGCCGACGCAGCAGTTGCTGCTCCAGGCGGCAACAACAATGACAATAATAACAATATAAACAACAACAATGGAGCCAATCAAGATGCGAACAATGCAATCAACGCTGCCATTGCTCAACGGAGATTTGTGGCCAATGGCGAAATCGATGAAGGTGTAAAGCTTCTGGCCAAGTTCCAACACGGAGCCTCACTGGAAGAACGAATGGCTGCGCCTGGAACTCGGTCGCGAAGGGCTCCAGTTAGGATTCTCTGCTTGGTGAGAAGTCCTTTTGGAGGTCACTTTGCCACCGGTGCATCTGATGGAATCTGTCGAATCTGGGAAGACGAAGAAGACCAAGACGTGGAAACGGTGGACAAGAGAGCCTGCAAGGCATCATTTGACTGGATTCATGGCCGTGGCAGTGAAAAATCAGTTCGAAGAGGGTGTGAGTCTGTTTGTGGCGTTGGCTTTCTCACGTGAAGATCATTTGGCTGACAATCTTGTCTCTGTTCTCTCGTCTGCAGCGCGTGTATCTAATCCCAGCAAGCTGATTCTGCAGCTCAAAGGGCATTTGAACCCAATCACAGATCTCCAGTACTCGCATGCAGGAGACCGCATTATGACTGGCAGTCAATTGGATGGCGTTGTAAGGATTTGGTCGTGGGATATTGATCCTTCAATCCCAGATTTGAGGCAGCAGAGCAAGGACAGAGGAGTGCGTAGTATTGTAATCAAGTTGACCAATCCAATGGCCTCAACATCTAGCGAACCGAAAAAGAGTCGTCGACGAGTAGCAGCGGGAAGTGCAAGCAACAAAGAGTCGAAGATTCAACTGGATGTTGCAGTTTGGACACACGATGACTCCAAAATCATCACCTCCCAGTCCCAGATGATACGAGAAGGGAAGATGCAACCAGATACAAACTTCATGTTCTTATGGGACGCCCAAACGGGTCACTGTCTGTTGGGGATTGCAGGGGGGCATTCAATGAATTGTCAAGTGATCCTGCCACATCCAACCAACAGTTCCGTTTTCTGTAGCGGAGGTTTGGATGGCTACATGAAGGTGTGGGATGTAGAAACTGGAAAGTGCATCTTTTCCCATAAGAATGAGCCAAAATTTGGTCAGGGCGACGCCGCCGAGCGTGGGGGGTTCCTGGACGGTGCGTGTTTCCCAGATGGCACCGGATTTATCTTGACGGACAACAGTGGCAGCATCTGTGTGTTTGACTCGATATTGACCGCTGCAAAGCAGAAACCCTCCAGCGACCCGTCATCACTTCCAACTCTACCGCCTCCGCCCAGTTGGTTGAAGGAGCAGTACTTCTCCAATGACTACTATGATCTGTACTACGACACAAACGGCTACTGCGTCGAGCAGGGCTCAGAAATGCCTCCTCATTTGGCCCCTCGAGGTGTCAGATGTTCGCATTCCGGAGCACCGTTCCCAAACACTGCTAAAATCACAGAAGCTTTCAAGACAGTGGTTCGTCCATTGCCTTCTTCTGTTAGGGACTGTCAGTGGCTTCGAGAATCCATACGATCTCGAGCACGCGTGGCTAGGACCAAAACACGAGTGTCGAGCAAGCATAGACGAGCCAATATCATGCAGGAATTTGACCCACTCACCACAATTCTTGTTCGAAGCTCTGGAGAGGTAATTGAAACCAGAAATGAGAACGGGGAACTCGTGGTTCCAACTTCCCTGTCTACTGTTGTTGCAAGTCCCCCTGGCGCCAATCGTCAATTCCCGTCACCGAGTCGACGAACGTCGGACAACGAGCCAAGGCGTTCGTCCTACTCGGGGCGTCAACTTTCTACCAATTACCGCTGGCGAGACTACACGGATATGCTTCGGGAGGAGAGGAACTTTGGTAAGATGTCATGTTGTGGCTTTTCTCTCTGTGGTGCAATTAGTGATAACAACCTAAACCATTCCTGTGTTGCGCAAAGATGACGACTCGGACGACGAAGAGTTTCAGCCCGCGGCAGCAAGAGACAGGACGCCGTCATCTCAAAGAGGAGATAGCGACGATGAATCCGAAGATCTCCAAGAGGCCAGCCCCTCGCCTCGAACAACGTCTCGACAGCAGACGTCGCGTCAACAAGCGTCCCGACAACAAGCTGCTCCAAGGAGGAGAGCTGCAGAAACTGTCGAATCCCCAGAAGTGCTACAGCCGTCGCGGTCGTCGAGAAGACGTCTTGTTCGCGAAAGGGGCCGATACCTTGAAAGCGACTCGGATGAAGAAGTTGTGGAGGAGTTTTTGAGGTGAGTGTAAAAGTTGATGCGTTCAGTGTGTGTCGTTGTCTCCCAAATAGATGGCTTACCGACAACACATACCCGTCTTTTGATCATTGTTTCGACCTTTGTACGATCAGCACGAACAACGATCCGTCTGGCCCCCACGTGGAAGACTACAATACACATTTCTTCAAGCTGCCTTCCAGCGGGCCCAAAATTCAGAAGGATTGGTTGCGGCGAGTTGAATCTGACAGTTCGTTCTTAGGGCGCAAAGTTTATGCTCCACAGGTCGGCGATACTGTGGTCTACATTGCGCGTGCGCACTTTGAGACTCTTCAATCGTTTGCTTCCATGAAGGTGCCTTTTCATGATTGGCCTCAGGAAGCTGAATGGCCTGTAGTTCGCTGTTGCATTCGTGACATTCGCTACCGCTTTCCTTACATTAACTTTTACGGAGGCCGGAATTCGCAGAGGTAAGAAGCATTCACGTTTTATTTTATGTTTTCCCCGTCCAATGTGGCCTCGACTGACCTTTTTACTCTCCAGGAGCCCCCAATGTACCAGTATTGTTGCTATCTTGACTTTGGAAGTCACTGGTATCCCAATGGGTCAACGTGATTTCCAGTGGCAGTTGCCGCAGTTTGTCGAGCCAGCAAGGAGCCACATTTTTGAGGTAAGCCGTTGCTCTTAAAAATTGCCTCCCATCGGTCCCCCCTTCAGACTTTCTTACCCGCTCACATTCTTGCCAGGTCGGACTCTTTCAAAGTGACCACGAGGAATACATCATTCCCTTTGATCGGTATCTTTGGAGCCTACAATGCCTAGAAGAGGCTATAGTCTCCAAACATTATTGCTGCGAGGGCATCAATGTATCTTGTCGCTTCGTCAACGAAGACACCGATGACGAGGACGCCGACCTCATATTGTACGCAGGAAAGTTGGAAGACTTTGGTCAACGTGATACAGACAACAACGACGCAAACCTTAACAACACGGGGTACGAATCGATTCGAATTGGATGGACCGAAAATGGACAGCACAGTAGTGTGAGTCCGTGGGATGTGATTGTAGACAGACCAAAGTCGAAGAAGTTGAGACTCAGCCGGCCATGCCTAGACGATGACGAGAAGAAGAGAGCTCGCGATGCCCTGAAGAATCTGAAACGCATCCCGCAAGTAAGAGAACAGCTCATTTGCGCCGTCAACCAAAGGCAATACACGGATTATTCATGTAGGGTTGAAGTGCCGATGCATCTCGGTTTTGTGGAACGTCGATTGGAAGCGAATTACTACTCGTCGCGAATGAGCATAGTGGCCGATGTCAAACTTATTCGGGACAATTGCTTGAAGTACAACGGGGAAGTTGGGCTTCTTCAGGATGGAGCCAGAGAAATGTATGATCAGTTTGAACGTGACGTGCTCAACGAAGAAGAGCGAACACTCTTCAGAGACGTGAAGGTCACAATCGCCAACAAAACAAGGCCAGAGTCCACCAGACCCAGGTCATCATTGGAGAATTTGCCTGAGCCCCCTGCTAGTCACGAGGAAAGTGGAACGTCCAGCAGAAGGCGATCCTTGCGCATTCGAATTGACTCGTCCCAAGTGCAGGCTTCACAGGCGGCCATGGCCCCTGCCAGAGCACTACGATCTAATTCTGAGGTGTCAGAGATATCGAATGAGGCCCCTTCAGCATCGTTCGCAAACGCAATGGCTCGTGGTCGTCAGCCTCGAAGGAGTTCCAGCAGTAACGGGCAAGCAGCACCCAACAGAGGGGGCCGTCGGGATAGAGGCAGAGCCCGAGGTTCTGCCGAACCCGAGACTGCACAGCCCCCGATCGCTCCCCCACCTCAGGGGACAAGGAGGTCTGCAAGAATGCGGGGAATGCAGGCCAATCCCGAATCAGAAAACTTGTCTGTTGCCCGCTCCCACGGCCACGACAATGGCGAAACTGTTTCCAGAAGCCGTCGAGAGCGCGCAAGAAGCACCGCTGCACGACCACCTCCCGCTGAGGAAAACCCGTCTGAAAGTGAGGAGAGTGACGCAAAACCTCCTGCGCGTCAAACTAGAAATTCGAGGCGTGCAAGCTTCGGAAGAGACGCCGAAAGCGAGTCAGAACAACCACCAAGCCCCCAGGCAACTCGAACATCTTCTCGGTCTCGAAGCATGGCAGGCTTGAAAAGAGATGTGGAAAGCGAGCCAGAACACCCACCGAGCCCTCAGGCTACTCGAAGATCTTCTCGGTCTCGAAGCATGGTAGGTTTGGGAAGAGATGTGGAAAGCGAGCCAGAACACCCTCCGAGCCCTCAGGGTACTCGAAGATCTCGGTCTCGAAGCATGACAAGCATGGGAAGAGCGATCAAAAGCGAGTCAGAACACCCCACTAGCCCCGAGGCAGCTCGAAGATCTTCTAGAACTCGAAGTGGGACAAGACGGTCCGATGCCCAGAGTGAATCAGATGAAGAAGAGCCAAACCATTCAACACCGATGAACAACCGAAAACGCAGAGCTCGACCCAGTCTCCAGGAATCAGACAATGACGAGGTCGAAGATTCCAGCGACCAAGAGAGTGTTGAAGATAAGGTGGAGGAAATGGAAGAGGAGGAAGAAGAGGCATCCAATTCCGAATCGGAAGCCCCTTCCCCCGAGGAACCGTCGGCGAGGAGATCGAGCAGAAGCTCACAAAGACGATCTTCAGTCTCCTCCATGAACAACCGGACAAGCCGCAGAGGTTCTCAACCCTCTGTCGCTTCTTCTCGACGATCTTCCAGAGGAGGCCAAGTAGCATCCTATGCTGAACATTCTGGGTCTGAGTTCTCGGAAATAGAACCTTCCGAAAGTGAGGAAGAAGTAGAGAAACCCCAGCGTCGTAGTCCACCCAAGAAGCGTGCGCGAGGGAAGGCTAAGGGCAAGGCGAAAGCGAAACAATCGCCCAAGAAACGCAAGAGCCCAGCCAAGACACAAAGGAAGCGAAAGAGAGGTGAGTACCAATCCATTTGCTTGGATTCCTTGGGTGGCTGACAGTCAGCATGTTTCCTCATCATGACATCGTTCTATGTATCGTTTTAGCGGATGAATTCTCGGACGAATCAGAAGAAGATGATTATGATTATGTAGTCCAACGAGATGAACAACCAGCTCGACGAAAGAGGACAAAGATTTGGCATGAGATTGACTCGAAGCACATTACCTCGGTCACGCGAAGCATTTTAGAATTTTACCGTTGTTTGGATGAACAGGTTCGTGCAAGAAATCCCCCGCATTACAACGGCATCATGATGGCAGCACGTCGCTCACACATCGTCTTTTCCTGCATATGGCAGGAAGTCTTTGCAGTTCCGGTTGCGGAAAAGCACCCGGACGTCAAACAGGCGTACAAGTAGGTCAAATTTATCGAATCGAATCGACTACACTCACTGGAGCTTCATTCAGTGCAGCCGCTGACCATTTATTTTGTTTGCATCTCTCTTGTGCCTTCTTTTCACTTCTAGTCAAAAGATATCCACGCCCATGGATTTCCAAACTATTGAGGAAGATCGAATCCAATATTACAGCTCCATTACAGAGCTCCAAAAGGACCTCATTCTCACTTTCCAGAATTGCATTGATTTTAATGGAACACTATCCGACTATGGCCAATTTGCGCAGCAATTGTTGGACATGCTGGATGATGCATTTGAAAAAGCCGTTGCTGACCTGCCTGGCAGATGATTTATGATTTATTTATTTCTAATACAAGTGAACTCCACCACGAGGGGGTGGGGTTGTGGTACCAGTAGGCGCAGAATTGCAGCTCTTGTGCTTTGTAAAGTGAGTACTGGTACGGTAGATAAGGCTTGGCGGGTAGATAAGGCTTGCCTGGTAAAATACCGTAGGTATGAGTTCTTTCGGTACTACTATGTACTGTACGTACCGGTACTAGCTAGTAGCTAGTTGCTTGTCGTTTAGACATGGTGCGTTCGTGAGGTCCTCAAGCGTGGTTGCAAGGAAACTGTGTTAAAATCCACGGTGACCATGCTTCCGTCGAGGAAACTCGGGCCACGACTCAGCGTCACTTTGAAGCAATAACAACAATAACCAAGATCTTTGTTATTTTTTTCCGTATTGGACCCCTTGGACCCTTGGAAAGAAGAACAACAACAGTTTGGAGCAAGGACCATGGTGCATGGAGGAGGCAGCCGCAGCGGTGGGTCTCGGGGCGGAGGAGAAGCGAGAGTGTCCTCACACCACCAAAGCAATCGCCAACAGCACACCCGCGGCAGTTCCAACAGCAGTCGCACCGTGCATCACGCGAATCATCGTGATTCGAGCCCACGAAACGGAGGCATTGCAACCAGTACGACGCCGAATCGCACTAGAGGAGAGAACGATGGTGAATTCGCTCGCCATGGAGCGAGCTCACGAATGCATCATGGAAGGACCAGTGGCAGGGAGACTCCCTCCAGAGTCGAGGATATCGGTCAATTCACTCGCCATGGAGGCGGAACCCGCACTGGGAGGAGCAGCCATCGTCATGGGTTCTTTGACCGATTTCGCCCTTTTTCGATTTACAGCAATCGTCATCGTCGCCGTGAAGAGGAAGAAGAAGTGCCAGTAGAGCGATCGAACCATTGGCGGCAAAGAGAGCCGCTCTTATGGAGGAGAACCCACAGACAAAGAAGACACGTTATACCCGGAGGTGACGACGATGACGATGACGGATGCGATTGCAACCCATGTCTGTTTTGCTGTTGTTTCCTTAGCTGTTTGACTTGCTGCTGTCGAGAAGGCGTTAGTGGTCTAGGTCGCTCTTGTGGAAACCTATTTGGCAGTCCTGGTCGCTTTTGTGGTGACACCTGCGGTAGTCTGTTCTCCGCAAGTCGATCGACTCTTCCAGTGTTGGTGGCGACCGCGCTTCTCTTTGCCATTTTGTGCGTGTTCTCCAGCCAGAACGAAACTTGGACTTTGAATGCTGGAGAGAGCCGACAAATCCATCCCACTTGGTTGACTCGGGCTGTGGAAGTTCAATATCTATGGAGCCAACACGATGCTATCGATGTTTCGGTCTATGCATTTGCTAAAAAGTGCCCGCCTTTAACAGGTCCAATCAAGAAGGTATCGGAGCAGCATGGCATGACCTTTGGAAATCAAGATTTTCAATTTGATTATTTCTTTCTCAACAAAGGGTCCAAGGTGGAGGCCGATTTTACGCAATTGCAAGGAGCCAGCAACGTGTATCTGCTGAGAGGCCAAGACAAAATCTCTATACTGCAACAAGATGACATTCTTCACGATGAGGACAAATGGTCGGACTTGCTCAAAAGTTCATTGAAAACATGGAGGCTGAAGGACACGTATCGTCAACCGACTGTGGGGCGATTTCAAGCGGACCGCAACGACGCATATACCCTGCTCTATGATAACCCCTACCCAAGGGGCGCTGATTTGCTTGTGGACTTGTGGTTCGAACTAACAACATTCAACGTCAAAGGAAAGACCCCAATCTGCTCTGATATTGCTTTCAACTCCTGCCCTCCTATTCAGACCGAGTTTGCAAAGTGCATCATTCTAGACACATCGCCGTGGCACGACAACAGCCAAGGCAATGAGGAGATTTCTATCAGAATCATTGGGAAACGTGATTTCTCCTTCATTGCGTTGCTTTCATTGATCCCTGGCGTCTTGGTCATTCTGTACAAGATTTGGAGCTGTCTCAAGAACCGAAGGAGAACCTCTAGGCAGCGCGTTTCACGAGAAGATGAGGAGCACGGAGGGGCCAACGCATCCGCACGCGAAGGAACTGCAGCCACTGCCCCGCCTTCCGAAGAAGATGAGTCATCGACACCACTTCTTCGTCCAAGCGCGCCTCTGGCTTCGGAAGATGCTTCAGCACCAGCCGATGAGGCAATTCCTGTTGCCGCTGCTCGGATTGTCGAAGACTCAGCACCCGACGCCATCGCTGTGACACCCGTGGAAGCCCCAAGGGACGGAACCAAATAACCAGACGGAGAAATACATAGGTCCACCTTCGAGGTCAAGGTGCTCCGCCATCCCCTACCGTAGCACGAAATACCGGTAGCTTATCAGAAGAGAATAATACATGAATTATGATAGAACACTAATATGGAAGGCATTGGTTCTATTTTCACAAAAAGATTAGTGGCTTACAACTAGCTGGGATAAAGAGCATGTTGCTAGTCGAGCTCATGGATAGAGCCTCCTAAGACGTCAGGTTGCGGTGTATCCGCAACAGCAGGAGCCGCAGCGCCAGGTTCGGAATCTAGAAGATCCACGGGAGGCTGCTGCGTTTGAGCCGGCAGTGGCTGTGCTGGTGTTGTGCTTTGTATTACTACCGGAGCCGCAACAGAGGTGGGATTTGGATCAGTGGAAATGAAAGCTTTTCGTGCTTCGCCCTTTTCAGGGTCCCATCCTGTGGAACTGGGAGCAGTTGCGTTTTCTGCTGGTGGAGGGTTGTATGGCATTGCAGTCATCGGTTGGCTAGGAGCAGGTTGAGTGGGAGGTACAGGTATGATGGGTGGAGAAGAGTTGTCGCCTCCTGAAGAGTCCCCGGTATCAAACTCTACTCCGTCAGTTGGCACCTCCGTAATTCCAAAAATGGCACAGCCCAAACAGCACAAAATGATGCCAGCCTAGAGATAGATTAAAGTTTAGCGGTGACACACAAACGACGGAAGAAACAAGGCATACCTCTACAATCGGAACTTACCACCATGAGACAAGGAGAAATGATCCAAAGAGATGAGAAGCCTGCACCCTGCAGCTTTGCAAGGAAGAGGAATACAACAATCAGGAAGAATCCCTGGGAGCAGCACTTGCTGCAAAGTCTTGACCCACTGGCCATGACTTGCGCCTTGAGCTCCTCTCGTTCTTCTTCTGAAATCTCTGGTTTTGGTGCCGCTGGAGGAGCAGCCTCACCGTTTGCCCCTACTGCACCGTAACCTGCTTGCTTCTCCACGTCCTCCTTCTTGAGGCCGAATAGTGTTGGATCCTTTTCGGCAGCTAGAATTTGGACTTCTGCAAAAGCCTGATAATTGGCAAAGCAAATCAGTGCCGTCAATACCCAGAAGGGTGTAAAGACGAGCCACCAGTTGAGGCTGACATGGCCATCTAGTTGTGCCAGCATCAATAGCACAAACACGATGCGAAAGATTGACTTGACAATGTCATGTCGTGCCCGTGTCTTTAGTTTCTGAGCAGCATCAAAATCCGGACTTGTGGCTGATGACACCACTGAATATCGCTTTCCAATGAGTTCCTTTTCAGCGACCGTGAACTCTGAGAACGGTTTGCCCAGTGCCGTCTCCAGATCCTCGACCGTAACGATGCGCATTCGAGCCAGTGGTAGTTTTTTGTAGAGGGTTGTAGCTTCCCATACGTAGAGTGGGAAAAAGATGAAAGCCCAGGGCCATCGGACCAGACCATCCAGTTTGAGTGCCACTAGCAGTTCAAAGAGTACAATGAGGACGAATCTGACCAGAGAAAAGATCCGTTTCCTCATTGGCAGCGGATCGACCCATTCTTCCGGAGGTATGTGATCTGGTCGAGCAATGGGTCCCATCATGATCACTCTAGAGTGATAGAATAAGATGAAAGCATCCCATATCCACAGAGGCGTCAGTGTAGCAAACCAAGAGGCTTCATCTCCAAATACACCATCGACATGTAGACAGACTAGGATGGGCAATATCAAGACAGCGACAGCCACACCCACAAAAATGGAGAAGATCTTGGATCGATCCAGTGCTGAACTAGTGGCAAAATTGTGTGCGAGTTCCTGTGGGTCCACACTAAAGGGTTCTTCTAGCCATTTCATCCCTCTAGCGCCAATGGTGTCGTATGTTTCTCGCTTATGTGGATCGGATAGCACTTCGTAGGCTTCCTTCATCTTTGTAAAATTTGCTTGATCTGCCTCTGTGACTTGTTGTCCTCGTTGTGCCAATTTGTCAGGGTGCATTTGTAGACTTTGTCGTTTATAGGCTCGTTTGATTTCATCTTGAGTGGCTTCTCTTGTGATCCCCAGCTGGGCGTAAAAGTCGCTTCCGTCCGCATCGTCATCGGAGCCCAGAAATGATTTGCAACAACAGAGGAAAAAGGCCAAGTCGTATCTCATGGTGATGTTGCTTGTGTGATGGTGTCGTTGTCGGTGCTCTGGATGTGCTCCAATGTAGCCGTTCTTGCTGTTCTATGTACAATACACTGCTAAGGATACGGTAGGCCTGGACTCTCTCAAGAGAAGCCAACAGTCCACCAACAAAATCGATCAAGACACAATGGCTTACAGGTGTGGGTCACCGTACTATTAGCTGCTCTTGCTTGGAGTTGATGATGAAGCAGGGACAAGGAGGCGGAGTGGAGTGGCTCGTGGTGCTGCGGTGCTCGGTTTTTAAAGCAAGAACAATGCTGGGCGGCAAAATCGAGTGCTTCGGCGCGCTCTGTGTCCGATTGTTCGCCAATCATTTAGGGCAAAAAGTAGCCGGCGAGAAGGAACGGAAAAATTAGAGAAGGCCGAGACGACGAATATCGAGCGCTCACAAAACTAATATTTAAGCCAAATCAGCTGCAAAATCCTCCGTGCGAAGTCTGTCTCAGATTGGGTTTCCTGACATTTGGATTCTACCGGAACTAAAGGAAACAATGTTTGAGAAACGTTAGGGAAGGTTCAAGAATTGATTCGGGTGAGGAGCTGAGATGGGCCTTCAAGTGGGTCTAGTTTTTGGTTCTGGACTGGGGTCTGGTGATGGACCTGATGTTGGGCCACTACAAGCGCTCGGCACTTCATCGGGAACATCTTCTGCCCAGACGAGGAGAGCTAGCCTAGAATCTAGAATCAAGGCAAAATTTCGTAGTCTAGTTAGTTCGACCGGGAGTATTCTGATGAAGCAAGCAACTGAAAAGAACGGGTATTGTGGAACTAAGCGCCTCTGCATAGTGAAGCACAAGTGCCACACAGGAAACTACTGCCGTCGCCCTAACGGAACCGTTCATGCCCAAGTGGTACTGGTACGACCACCACAGTGACACACATTGGTTCCGTATCCTAAAAAACTTAGGCAGCATGAGGCGTATGGTATCATGATTGCTGGCCGCGCACCTCTCTTGCTCCTTTCTCAAACAAAGAAGCAAACCAATCAGAAACCTCTTCTGTTCCAAAGAATGAACCTGGAACCTTCCATCAGAGCAACAACATGTAACAACCATCCATAGGCGGGACATAACCTGTGTTAGCCAGAGCACGCTGTCTTGTACCGGTTGCCTGTTGTACGGTACCAACGGTCAACGTCATTCGCTGGAAAAGCAAACGGGTCACACTTTATGACTTTTTGAACCCACAAAATTCTATTCCTGCATTGCACAGCTTGAACCTTCTTTTTCTCACAAGAATCGAAATCCGATTTGAAGCCGACCGACCAAAACCACGCTGGTGAAGCCAACAACGGCCAAGGCAACCGCCCTGAACCCATAAAACAGGCACAACACAAACACGGGAAGCATGGATATCATACAGGGAGGGTATATGAGTGGTTGGAGCGCCGCGGATATGGTTGGTTCGCCTTCAATAACCCACATGATCGCCTTGGTGGCTCTGGTCGCCCTTTGGAAATTTCCCAAATCGATTGAAGCCTTTGATCCAAAGCCGTCATCGCAGTCATCATCTCATAATGTACCTACCAATCCATTGTTTACACCACCACCGCCGCCTCCAAAAATGACTGCACCGCCACCACCATTGGCTCGTCGCCTGTCCAGTGGGTCATCTTGCAGCGATGATGCTTCCGAACAGTCGTCGGTGGAGTCTGTGTCGGAACCAAAGCATGGACCAGAACCTTCCTCCTTCCTTCGTTCCAAGGCGCCAGAGTCAACTCCAGCCGAACGACAACGTTTCTTAACAGCCCGAAAAGGAGATGAAGCCAAGGCATTGGAGAATCTACAAAAGTACTTGAGTTGGAGAAAGCAGTATCAGGAAATGGTTCAAGAACAGGAGGAGAAACACTACAATTTACAGTTCGAAGATCCTGATTTGTATGACTGGATTGTCGCATCACAAGCGGCTCTCCAAGCAGAGAATGATGCTGCTTTTGGTTGGAAGTGGCTACCTAGGCTTATTCTCACCCATAAACTGCCGAATGGCCAAGAAGCTCAAGATCTCAACGGACGCCGCATTTTTCACATGATGCCGGCTCAGATCGACGATCAAATCTGCAATCTATCCACTTACTCCCTGGCCATTGCCCTTTACTTGGATCGCAAGATCCAGCGCGACTCCTTGGAAAAGGTCACCATCGCTATGGACCTTCGTCCGGGACGGGGCTGGCGAAATACATCAGCAGTAAAGTTGCTGCCCTTTATCAAGTCCATTGTCGGGCTACTGTTGGTCAATTTTCCGGAAAGACTGTCCAAGGCGGTTCTGTATCCTTTACCATTTGCCTTTTCGTGGGTCTTTTCGGCTGTAAAGGCTGTCATTGATCCCGACACGGCTGAGAAGCTTCAAGTTTTGTCAGGGTCGGCAGGTGTCGACTCCCCGCTCCCTCTGAATAAATTGACTCGGTTTATGGGCCAGGATGTAGCCCTGCTTTGTGAACACGGGCGTCAAGAGTCATTTTCGGCATAGACTGGAGGGGAATTATTTTATGTATGTTGTGAGATTGGAAGTCAAGCTGAGGAAGGCCTCAGTGTTTTTGTGTGTGTTGTGATGTTTTATGTGGTAGTGTCAAGTGTCTACAAGAGAGGAGATGTGATTGATGTGTGAGCTGGCCATGGTGGCCATTAGCTGTCAAGTGATTTTTGTCTGTGTTGCTGTTTGGGAATTCTGAAGACTCAATGTTGTTTCGTGGCCAATGGGAAATAGATAGAACCTTTGCTAGAGCCTTCAAGAAACGAAATTAATACTTATACTAGTATACTTCACTGCAGGTATTTGCTCTTATCAGCTGTAGTCTCTGACAAGCTTCCGCAACAGTACGTATGGAAAGGGTTTGGAAACCAACCTTCCCGGTTTCGCGAGGGGAAATCCTAGCCTCGTCTTGACTGCTTCTTCCAGTCGTTCTCGAATGCTGTCGGCTTCCATGCGCTGAAGAGGGATGGAATCTCCTCCATATACCAGCAGGAACACAAGCAAAGGACAATGAGCTGTATTCTTGCCTGGAGTCGGCGTGATCTGGGTCCGTATGGGGATCTCCACGTGCACTCCTTCGGGTGCAACACTGCGAGCAATATCCAGAACAATGCTGTCATCGTTCAACAAAGCATCCTTCGGGTAAGGGCTCGCATCCAAGCAAGCAGGATCCAGCATGATACGAAGCTCGTGGCGATAGCATATCTGCAGGTCACGATCTATGGGTCTGCCATTGGGAAAGGTGAAGATGTATCGTTCCGGTTTCACTCCCAGGTGAAACTTTTTGTCAGCTCCTCGATACGAAGAGACATCATAAGTTGGCTGTGATCAAAGCCATCGTCGCGAAGGGACAACTTTCTATGAGTCATAGTCAATCATAATATCATCAAAGCCAAGCTCCATCAATCAATCAACTTTGCCGACAGCCACACAGTCTCAACTTGCTTACCACAAAGGGATCCAACCGTCGCAACATCAGCCCGGCATCCACGGCAAGTTCTGCAGCCTTCCAGCTTGTTTTCCATGCCACCAGATCCTCCGAATGGGCTCCCCCTTGCTCACTTCTCAAAGCTACCTGTATTTCTCCACCATTCTGTTTCAAGACTTGACTCGCACTGGCCAAAAAGTTCCCCAGAAGCTCCCGATTGTACCTGTTGTTGGACTTTTTCCCAAGCCAATGAGGAAAGTTGAAAATGATGCGATCAAATGACATGTCCGACGGGAATTGTTGGTGCAGCCTTGTGGCATCGGTTTCAAATAGCAAATGATGAGATGGAAAGGATGAAATGGACTGAATATGCTGTTGTGAATTACGGTAGACTCGAGCATGTTCCGCCTCACTTTCCAAAACGGATGCTACCAACGAAATGTCGGATTTGGAAGACTGCGATGCGATGCTGGCACTGTAAGACAGGTCCCCGTCTCCTACCACGAGAATTCGTGGCTCCAATTCTGATTCGGGCCCCAGACGATATTCTGATGGTGGACTTGCAGCGGCAGCCGATGGAATGTCATTACTATCATGAGTTGACGGCACCGCCGATGAAGCGTCCGGTGAAACCGACTTTTGTGAGCAGAATCTTTTTGCAATGAAGTGGGGTTTCTTCCGGATAAGAGGCTGGTTCAGACCCTTTACTGTGGTAGAGATGCCGCTGCAAACAAAGAGGCGAAGAGATTGCAGCACTATCGATCTCATGGTGGGTGTTGTCGCGACGTCGCGATGTTGTGGGAGGTCGTCAAGTCGATCGGCAGCAGCTTTTGATGGTGCAGCAAGGTTCAGGTTAACTGCAACCGTGAGAAAGCTTTCTCGTGACGCACGTCAGTGAACGGGAAACAACACCAACAGACAGGACGTTAGTGCGATTGATGGTTGCTGTTGTTGGAAAGGAAACAAAGATGGATGTTGGAGGAGCAGGCCTTGTCTGTGACCGGGCTTGAATGAATTCATGATCAGACCATTGGTTTTGTCCAAAAAGTTGACCTAGCCAACCAAACCTGAAAGTTCCTTGGTAAAGATTATGGTTACTGTCACTAATTCCAGTTTTCTCTTTAGCATCGCAACCATGTTGTGCATCTCCACTTCCATTGCGTTTGTGGGCAAAGCCTCTCTGTCAAGGGGTTCACTCTCGAGGTCGTCCTGCAGGCTCTTTTCATCGTCATCGTCGATCATTGGAGTTGATAGCAGCATTTCCCGACTCTCGACCTTGCAGACCATGTTAGCCAAGTATGGTGCCCCCGGAAGCACTGGATGTACCAAAGAAAACGACCTGGAACCGATACTGCCTAGCCAAGACGCCCCCGAGTTACTGGCGTCCATGACAGACGCAGAGGACGATGAACTCTCCAATCTACATCCCTATCTCTATCCCATTGCCAAGTCGAAGTCCTCCGGAAACTTGATCTGTGCCTTGCGCAATGCCTATGCGACCGAGGGCGACTTGGATAACCCATGGCCAATTGTGGAATCCACCATTGGTGGCCCTGGGATGCAACTCCTGTCTCTGAATAGTGAGCATTTGATGAGACGGATTGCCTGTGAAAAGGACTTTGCAGGAGACGACAAGGAAGCCGTAGACATGTACAATGACGGACTAGGTCAAGGATTGATGAAAGACAAGGTGTTTGACAGTCCGTATGTTGTGGGTGATGTTGAAAAGCTTGGGTAAGCAGATTGACTTCAGTTCAGGGCGCGAGAATCCTCGGTTAAGTTGCAATGCATCATTTTGCATCCATTTCAATTCAATGCTCACTTCCATCCATCCTCCGATGTGATAGTTACGGCGCTGAGAAGTACTCGCTGCTTCGTGTAGGTCCATTCCCCGATCTCTACAGAACCATGTCCCTCCAGCACTCCGAAAGGGACGATGAAGCATCATCTCTCATCGCAGCGGAGGCTGCAAATGGCAAATTTTCGCAGTTTGGTTCCACGTATAGATTCTACGCCCGCCTCTTGGATTCATTCCATCAAAGAGAGGAAGAAGCCAGGGATGCTTCCAGGATGTGTCTGAGGTTGCCTCTGCCAACCATTGGTTTGACCAGAGAAGATTTCAAAGAAGTGGCGGTCTTGGGTCTCATTGCCGACAAGGGTGATTCTGAAGAGGAAGCCATGGTCAAGCTCCAGGTGATGTATGAGAAGATCAGAGAGCACGAGAAAGAAGATGACCCACAAGCCAACCAAGGGATGACACCCGAGCAAATGGCTGCCGACGAGGCAAACTACCTTTTGGACACCACAGCGCTTACAGGTGGTCCCTGGAGGGACACAAGGGCGAAGCTTGCCGAGATCTTTCGGTCAGTAGGCAAGGAAGATATGGCAGCCTTTGTGAATCCATACAAACCCTAATATGCATCACACAACAACCACCAGCAGAAGCAATTTTGGCTATAAAATAAAAAACAACTCTTGCACTTATTCCTTTGCGCCTGTGCCATTACTAATACTGTTCTCGGCCTCGGCGAGCAACGCCTCGATTTCGTCGTCGTCGATTTGGTGGTCTTTGTTGTTGGTTTTCTTGTTCTCTGTGGTCGGCAAGTCGCTGCTCTTGGCCTTGAGATTTTTTTTTGGTGTTGACCCGCCACCCCCGATTGCTGGAAGACCTGCTCTTTGGTGTAACGCAGTGAATGCTTCTTCGTAGAGAACAGAGGGTGTGACAGACGGCACAAACAATGATGCGAGGTAGGAGATTCCCATGAAACCATCAAAGAAGAACAACCCCATCACCACAAAACAAAGCATCATCCCACCAAGGACTGGGTTGGCCATCTTTCCTGGTTGAGGCGCTTTGAACGGGTCCGACGTATCTCGTTTGGGAAGCAGCCAGTCTTCTGCGTTGAGCAATATTTGTGCGCCTGCCTCGTACACAACGAATGGATAATGCACTCCATCAAAGCTCTCCGATACTCTGCCCGCAGAGAACGCCGGTCCATCCAAGACAAAGGACGCCGCCTCAAGCACGTTTTTGGATTTGTAAAGCTCACGGATTTCAGCCATTTGTTCCTCCCGTATGTTGGCTTTCTTTTCATCTGTTTGCAGTCCATCTGTGTTGATTGTGGTGGGTATTTGCCAGACGACGGGAACGCCGCTGTCCCTGGTCACGCGTATTTGCTTTCCCAGATCTTCTACTGCTGTCGCAAATGCCGTCTTCTCAGCGTCAGAACCATACTTATGGAGTCGATCCCAAGCACCACCGCCCATGATGATCGTGTCAATTTGTGGAGATGCACCAGCCAAACCTTTTAGTTTTTCCACTTGCTCTGGCGCATAAGCAGCCCACTTGAATTCGAGTTTTGTTTTGGCCACGGTTCGTTCCATATCGGAATGCTTGGAAAGTGTTGTGTTGAGGAGACCAGCCTCCGCAACACCCATTTGTCTTGCAACTGCATGGTATAGCTTGCGCAAGCCAGAGTCACCGATAAAAACAAGTCGCCTATGTTGCAGTGCCTTCTTGAGAGATTTGGGATCACGACGAGCAAATCGGCAATGTGTCCATGGCTCTGGTGCCTTCCAGCCCCAAGCAGTGGTTTGCTGTCCACCAGCACAGGTTCCCAAGGACATGGTTCCGTGGTCTCGATAGGCAGTTCCTCTCGAGAATTCATTGCAATTGTCCATGGGGATCCACACTCCGTCATTGACAAATGCCTGACAGCCAACTGGAAGAGGTTTGATTTTGGCACCCCCAACTTGTGCCATGCGATGCCATATCAGTCCCACCACCAAAATCAACACGGACGCAAACGCAATTCCCATGGCATCATTAGGTTTCTTGTCCGAACTCAAGGGAGACGCGGAGACTGATCGGGTTGTCGCCTTGGCAACGGTTTGGTACAGAATGAATCCAAGAACGAAAGAGCAGGCCGCCACCATGGGTAGGTGGAGTAGGTGGAACGTCTTGAGAAGGAAAGCCAACGCCACGTAGGAGGCAAGGGTGACAAATATCGCCACAAGATTGCGGACGCACTTGTCACGGTCATTCGGCAGCATCATTCCTCTCAAAAAGAGAGTGAGTTGATAGAGTCGTCGACTGAGAACAAAATAAATGCAGGTGACGACCAAATAATTCATCATTGGCCATCCCGGGATGAGCGTGAGCAGACTCTTGGCGTCGGATGTAAGCCAAATATGATGTTGCATAAGATAGGTTTCCAGCGTCGTTTTTCCAATTTGATGCAACAGATCCAAATGATATCCCCGAAGTGTGGGCGTCAAGTTTCGAAAGAAAATGTAGACCAAGAGGGGGATGAAGCCAAAGTATGCATTGGTGGCATTGTACTCGATTTTGCCATGCATAAAGGGATTTGTGACCCACCAGTAGAGCATGCCAAGGAAAAAGACTCCCATGGCTCCCTTGGCCAGTACTTGCCAGAGTAAGGGTTGCGCTTCCAATTTGCGAAAAAAGAGACTGGTAATGGGAAAGTTGAGTGCAAAAATCATCCCCAAAAAGGTGGACCAATGATCGAGACTGGATCGAAAGTACCATTCCCACATGGCCCCAGCGGTGGCTCCCAGCATGGGTGTTTCTCCCAGAAAGGGCCAGTGGAGAATGCGAAAGAGTGGATTTTTGAGATCCCACATGACAAAAATGCAGAGTGCCAGACAGCCCAATTTGATGCGAATCCCCCATTTGGTGTAGTTGACTTCCTTTTTGATTCTCATAACGACGTATACCATGAGAAAGAAGTATGTGTGCAACAGACAAATGTAGTAGAGAATGTAGGTGGTTCCTTGCGTGAGACAGAGAAATGTGACCAAGAAATTCAACCTCCATAACATTTGCATGACTCGGACGGATCCGTAGTCTCCTTTGAGGTAGAAGAATGAGAAGTTTCCAAATCCAGTCATCCACACATAGCATGTGATCATGATTCGAATGGCATTGTAAACTTCTTCTGCGTGATAGTAGTGGTAAAGCAAAAACATGAACTGCATCCATCCCTTCCATTCTTCGGTTTGATCTCGATTAAGGATTTCGGTCTTGTCATTGGGTGGGGCTACAGGTCGTTCTTCAAAGATGGAGTGCTCTTGATCCGCGACGGCTGTCTGCTTCTTGTCATTTTTGGTGAGTGTAAAGAAGGACACCAAGAATAGCAATGCGGTCATGAAAAAGAATTCGTCTCTATTGTAGCTCTTTTCGGCATGTGGATAGGGAGGATGGTACTCGCAAATGTAGGCATAAAAGAGGATCATTCCGAAGATGGATAGGTGATAAAAGAGGGTAAAGAGGGACGCAAAGGACGACACATCGAGAGGTTGTGACTTGGGGTTGTGGGCCATTTGAAAGGCTCGATGATCTCCCGCAACATAGGATTTCACACCCATGGCAGCCGCCGCGAAAAAGACAGTCCCAAACATCATGGCAGAAGCCATGGTGGTCAAGGGGGCTGTGGCGGCAGCGCCTCTTACGCCAAATTCTCCTTCCACAATCGTCATGGTGGACTTTTTTAAAGGGAGAAAGGAGAAAGAGAGGGGTATCCACCTCGTTTGTTCTTTCTTTCTTTCAAAAACTCCTCTACTTGATTACGACTTGGCTCGGAGTCAGGATGGGATAACTATAGGGTCTTCCTGATAAAAGAATGTTTTGATGCAGATAATGCCAGCAATGCTGTCTCCGATGGTCCTTCTATCTGGGATGTGAGACAGTGACGGATACCGTAGGGTCATTGGCTTCCTCCTTGCAACCGATCGTTGCGAAGCTTGCTCTGGTCTTGGAACCGCGGGAAATGACTTCTCCTGAAAAGTAAAGTAATTCACGCTGGATCCATGGAGGCAATCTTGTGTAATTAGTGACTAACAGACAAGATTGATTCCGGATCTTTCGCAGCCCGAGCTTCCCACTTCCCACGATCTCCAGCCATCAAGCATCAAGCCATCAACTAGCTGTTCACTTTCTTGGGCACCATACGTACCATACTAATGTATTCCTATTAAAGCAAGAGAGAAACGACCATGAGTGCCCCGATATGGAGACTCTACGGAGTACCCTTGTCGCAACCCTTTCGATCGGTTGCGTGGGCTCTGCTACAGAATCAGATTCGATTTGAAGTCCAGTTGACGGTGCCAGGTGCCACCACCAAAATTGGAAGTCGCAACGATGCCTTTCGGAGTCTCTCCAAAATGAGATCTTCCAAAATTCCACTCCTCCAAAATACGCGCACGGGATTTACCATTGCCGAAAGTCCCGCCATTTTGGCGCATTTGTGCGAAGGGACAAGCCTGTACGCTCCTCCAGGGTCCACTCAACGAGCCACCATTGACAGTTACATGCACTGGCATCACACAGGGACTCGCAAATTGTCGTCTTTCATATTCCCTTACTTGAGACCGGCCGAAGCCACGCAAGTGATAGATCAAGACCAACAACTCCAAGCAAAAATGGCTGCCACACTGAAATCGCTCGAAAACGGATGGTTTGCCGACATGACCACGGAGAAAGAGTGCTTTTTGGCCGGTGGAACGGATCCATCCATTGCCGATTTGTTGGCGTACGAAGAAATTGTACAGCTTCCCATGCTGGGGCTCTTGCCACAATCCCAATTGCAGGCAGAGTATCCCAAGATTGCCGCCTGGACGGAACGTATGGCAAGGTTGCCCTTTCATGATCCAGTCCACATTGCCATGACAGAACTGGGAGATGTGACTGATACAAACAATGAGATTCCCTTGATGAAGAGACTGGGAGCCGCCAACAAGGCAGCGCTCCAGGCATTGGCTGAAGCACAAACCAATTTTCCGACTGAGCAGGATAGTGAAGCGACAACCAATTCCAAGCTCTAATAATAGCCAACCATTTGGAACGAATCTGGAGCACAGTTTCAATACTGTGCTGGCTCGGGTTCTTGATAGGGTCCATTGCTCAGTTTTTTAGCAGGTCAACTCCGAGTATTGATGAGATCCATCTCTAGAGGTTCCAATCCTGCCAATTTTATTAGAAGTATTCAGAAGTAATCCCAAGAACATGCACTTCCTCTGTACCGGTATCCACGGTTCTCCTTCATTCCATTCCACACGCTCCCTTGCCAAACACCTACCTGTAGTAGGGCAGCAAAGGGCCTGAGCAAGTGGCACTTCCATCTCATGATTCATGATTCATGGAACAGGCAGGCAGCAAAACATAGAACCATTACCCCCATACCGGTACATCCAGCCCCACTTGAGTCTACCGGTACCACCAGAGTTGAATGGTTGGATGACCCAAACGGGGTGGTGTACTATTGGTATAGTAGCGTGGTCCATGCAGGTTGCTATCGATGTCAAGTTTTGATACATCCAACCCTGGATTCTTCTCTCTGGAATTGTGCATTTCAGATCTACTAGCCAGACATAGATACGAATTAATCTAGCTAGCTAGGCGGTCAAACCGAGCTCGCTACCACACCAACATGCATTCACAGACTTTTCAAGCAGCAACGGCACTACTCTTGCCCCCGGTAACATGGACAAACGACCTGCTCAATGATCCCAGTTTATTTGTTAATCTCCACCAGTGCTGTGAGGGTCCGGGAACACGGGATGCTGTAGCAGGGCCCACCCTAGCCACCCAGCACCTAGGAATTGCTAGGTTAGAATAAGTTACTATGGCTCCTCTCCTTAGTTGACAGAGAAGCTCATAGTACCCTCCCAGTCGGTGCTGGGAGCCAAGGATGAAAGACAGGTGTGAGTTGATACGTGCAAATGAAATGGTGCTGAGGGCAGCTACCCAATGGTAGTTGTCTTCAAGAAGGGACAGAGTGATCCATTGGCGGTACTGGGTCATGTCCTCTTGAGAAAAGGTTGGAGTGTCATTGCGCAGGAGGGAGTCAATGAAAGCACAAGTGAAGGCATCGCAGTCATCATTGTTGAGTGTTGTGGGAGTTGCAGGGGTGGATTCACCAAAGAACCAGTCTTGGGCAGGGAGGGGGCGATGGTGCACTCTTAGGTGCTCATCAGAGAGATATCAAAGGGTAGCTGGGAGGAACCGTGTGTTGGTGGCCGCGAAAGAATCGAACGCTTGAATGCGTTGTTCTCGCATGAAGGCAACGACCACCATCCAGTGGTTCCAGTTGACATGGACTGGGAGGAATAGTTTGTCAAGTGTAAAGACATCTTGACCTGGGACTCGTTGGGACCAGGCACAATCGCTCAGCAACCGACCAATTTACGAGCTTTGCCAAAGATCCCAGTTCTTGTGCAGCTGTACTACTAGTACCCACTTGGGCAAAACACTCGTATTATACAAAACTGGCGCTGGCTTACAATCTGCGCTTTTAGAACTGGTACCAAGGTATTGGTACTTTTTAAGTCAGTGGGAGCTGCGATACCTCGGCAGAAAGACAGATAGAAGAAGGATGACATGTTTGAGATTGCACCCTTCTTTCAAGATAGCCCTGGCGACAACACCCAACTTCGTCGTGTGTTGCCGCCCGGTATCATTCCCTCATAACCTTCTTTTTATTTAAGCTAGCCCTGGCGACACCCGACTTCGTCGTGTGTTGCCGCCCGCTAATATAATTTACCAGCTGTCACTCCCTTATTGTACCTGTAACTTTTGTAGCTCCTGCTGACTTATTGTGCTTTTGTGCTGAGTGCACTAACCTTAAAATATTAATGATTTATTCCTGAATCGAATGATCAAAGTTCAGTTTGGTTGGCTTATGGCTATCTCTATCCTTATACTTTGGCTTCACCCGAATAGGAAACAGCATTCGGCTTTTTTTCAGCGTTCGTCTCCTGTTTCCTCAGTTTGCTCGCTACTTGGATCCATATGACAAATACATGCACAACCGAATATTGTCAATCCAGCCATTGTAGCCAGTTACCGTAGAGTTACATCAATCGATGACAGTGGCAACAGTACCGAACACACTCAGGTTCCGCTTTACTGGCTACACTCCGTTACCGGTACCTTGCATTGGATCCTTATGACGAATACATGCACAACCGAACATTATGAATCCAGCCATTTTGTAGCCGGCTGCGGTATAGCTACATCGATGACAGTGGCAACAGTACCAAAAGTTCGGCTTTGCTCGCTATGGTTACCTCGCATTGGATCCTTATGACGAATACATGCACAACCGAATATTTTCAATCCAGCCATTATAGCCAGTTACCGTAGAGTTATATCAATCGGTGACAGTGGCAACAGTACCAAACACGCTCAGGTTCCGCTTTACTGGCTACACTCCGTTACCGGTACCTTGCATTGGATCCTTATGACGAATACATGCACAACCGAACATTGTCAATCCAGCCATTGTAGCCACCTATCGTATGGTTCATCGATCAGTGACAGTGGCAACAGTACCGAACACACTCAGGTTCGACTTTGCTCGCTGCACTCGGTTACCTCGCATTGGATCCTTATAACGAATACACGCACAACCGAATATTGTCAATCCAGCCATTGTAGCCAGCTGCCGTATAGCTAGTGGCAACAGTACTTGACTTGCACATACAGGAAAATGGGTACGGACACAGGAATCACCACCTTAACAGTAGGAAATAACAAGAAGGGATGAATCCGGTAGGAGGATCCACTCTCTTGTGTGTTGTTGCCTCTTCCGGTGGCTGTTGCCTTTCAATGACTTGACGGCGATAGGCTCCTCTGTTCAGGCTGTTGGTAGGGCTGGAGTTAACAGAGCCTCCTCCTCCGTAGCGGTAGCCTCTCATCTTCTTGTTATCCGGAGCGGTCGATCGAAAAGGACTCGACAATGATAGTTCGCCGGCCGTCGGCAGTGCAGCAGAGAAAACAACAAATAGATATGAGTTTTGTTTTCTGTGCTGAACTGAAGAAAACCAGCGACTTACCCTTGCTTTTCAAATTGCACCAACTTGGCCGTCATGGGCCGAGAACTGACTGCCTAACCGCGGTCCATAGAATACAATGAGGGATGGCTTTCGCTTCTGTACCAGAGACAGCCGGCTTGAGTGAGGCTTGGCAATAGAGATAATAGAGGTGCGATCGATTCGATTCGAATAATTAAAGAACAACTCACCTGTTGAAGGCCGAAATTTGACTGCCTTCCCCTGGTTCATAGAAATTCAATAAGGGATGGCTTTCGAATCTGCACCTTCAATAACACTCTTGATACTAGGCTTACATCATACAGTACCATACCAGTTGTTGGATCATTCCAACACTATTCTTGTCGGCCAAGCTTGGATTTCTCTCCTGTTTGCCATAGCAATTCAATGAGGGAGAGAAGTCGGTGCTGCACCTTCAATGATGGACTTGAACGGTATGACCATACGAGTACCGTACCGGTACCGGTACATGTGCAGGCAATCAGTTTATCCTTAACCTTAGTAACTTCAACGGTTCGTTCGATCGAAGCTACTACTAGCTAGCTCTAGCTACCAACAGACCCATCTCGACAACCAAGAAGGCTAACAAGCAACCTGATGAGGGTACCCTACAAGCTACTACCTGTATCTGTTAGCCTTCTTGGTTGTCGAGATAGGTCTGTTGGTAGCTAGCTCATAAGACCGTACGGTGCTGCTGATTCGATTCGATGATTCGATTCGAATTACTGAATCGAATCGAATCATGCGGTGCTTTTCGTTAGAGTTGGGGATTTGTGTTGGGTCTAATAACACTGCAGCTACTAGTAATATCAAGGTTAATTTGTTGATTTGGGCGAGCTGTGAAGAAAAAGTGATCTTTCTGGCTGGTCGCTTTGAAGTCTGGATCTGAGAATGCCAGTTTCCTTAAATTCCTACGGTGGTGCGGTCTTTTTCTCATCCGGGTCCGCTAAATATCTAGACCGGCCAACACACTCCTGCCGTGGTCCTTAATGGATCCACGGAACGATTAAAACTAAACTAAATAGGAGGATGCCCCATAATAAAAGCGCGATGCGCATGGAATAGGGCACCTTGAAGGGGCTTCGTGAGAAAGTCCCCGTGCATGTCCTGAACTATGAGTCGACGGCGGCAAAGACGATGGCACAGTTCATCCATGAGATCAACCACGGTAGGATCAAAGATGACTCCGTGGAAGGAGCAAGTCATGCGCAGCAGCACTTGTTGCCCAAGGGATTGAAGATCTGGGGTGACAGAGCCAAGGCCGCAGCACGAAAAGAGATGGATCAGCTGCACAGCCGTGTGGCATTCGCTCCAGTTAGGCCAGAGGATTGTAAAGAATCGGAGCTCAAGAAGTCTCAAGTGACACTCATGTTCTGTACGGAAAAGCGAGACGGAACCATCAAGGCAGATCCTTTTCAATGGAAAGCCAACGGAGTATACAGGACAAGGATGAAACACGAAGTCCGACAGTTTCGCTTGAAGGTCTAATGTTTGTCGATTGTGCGTCGATGCCATGAAGGCCGCGACGTGATGACTTTGGATGTACCCAATGCTTTTATTCAGACAGCATTGCCGCAACCCAAGGATGGTGGTGATAGGGTGATCATGAAAATTGAAGGCATTCTTGCAGAATTGCTTGTGGAAATCGACCCAGACACTTACAAGCCATTCCTTGTCTATGAGAAGGGGAGACCTATCCTCTACGTTGTGGTACTGAAGGCACTTTATGGAATGTCTCATTGCAGTCTACTTTGGTACAAGGCATTCCGCAAGGATTTGGAGTCTATTGGTTTTGTATTCAACCCCTATGATCCTTGTGTCGCCAAAGGATGGTCAATGGCAAGCAACAGACTATCCGTTTCCTGTCGACGACCTCATGTCAATCATATGATGGCCAAGGTAATGATGATTCCTGGCCTGGTGCAACGAGAAGTATGTACCTACGGTGCTGTCAAAGCAAACCAGAGGACCCAAGCACGACTATCTAGGGATGACGATTGATTTTTCGGAGCCTGGAAAGTCAAGATCGATATGATTGACTATTTGACCAAGGTGCTCGAAGAGTTCCCTGTAAATTTGATCATGTTCGTACTGTTCCGAGTGCAGCCCCAGCTGATTTGTTTTCTGTGGGTGACGGTGACAATCTGGACCCTGACACGAAGGATACCTTCCACACGAATACAGCCAAGCTACTCTTCGCCTGTAAACTGCTCGTCCAGACATGCAGACA